ATATATTTTTACCTATTTTTCAAATGTCAAAAGACCAAATAAAAATAAAATAAAAGTCAAAAGTCCATCTAAGAAAGTTATTCAACAAATAAATTCCCTGCAACATAACAAAACCTGTTTTGTTCAGTCCAATGGCTATGAAGAACCCCTGCCGACATATACTGTGTTAATTACTATGTCCACTAAGAAATTCTAATTAATAAACGCGGAAGAAAGCTCTTAGCAGCAGATACCTTTAATCAAAACTTAATTCATATCGAATGATTCAACAAAATAAATTTTGAAAATGTTCAAAATGTGCTACAAACAATAAATATTTTTACAAATTCTCAATCAAAAGAAACACAAAAAAAAAAATGTTTGTTGTATAGTAGTTATTGGTAATGATAGGATAATAAGAAAGTGTTCGCGTCGGAAATAACGGCTTTCAATATATGTACATTAATTAAGTCTTTCAAAGTGTCCCTCTACTTCGATACAGATGCTAGTTTCTCGCTCCACATTATTTGCGTTAAATGCTCTAATTGTGCAAATAACTTTATGTCGTCCACTTAAAGGCAATCCAGTAAAATCGAATATCAAATTCAGAGAAAAGGGTTCGTGAATTATTTTGGTCTGAAAGACAAAGACAAAAATTGCAAACTTCAAATTCATTTAAATTTTGTAAACATACTCCAGGGTACATGCATTTGTCCTTCACGTCTTCTTTATTGGTTATATATTTTGTCCAATACTTATACCAGTACTGAGGCTCATCATATAAAACAGCACACATGTTACGAACTGTCATACCGAATAGTGTTTGCACCCAGGCTATACGATCAAATTTAAATAGCTGAAAGCTCATCTAAATAGAAAGCAAGCTGTAAATGTATTATTCTAATCTGTGAATGTTGAAGTTAAGTACCTCAATGCGATCCCCTGGTTGAATATTCCATTTATAGGTAGCATTGCCAGACATATAAATTATATCGTCCTGGCGAGAAACTGTGAACTCGGAGGTATCAAGCACTCCATAAATATTAAGAACATTATTTGGTTGATTAGAACAATCACCAAAGAACTCGTCATCTTCAGGAATAAACTGGTATTTCAAGGCATACGATATTTTTACGATGAAAATGAGGAACAGCACTGCATAGAGAAACTTTGATACGAACAACATTGTGTTATTATTAAATTCAAATGGGAATTGATTTTTATCCTTGAATTGAATTGGTTTTTATACAGTAAAAACAAGTTGTGTAATGCTGATATTTATCACAATAATTACATATCGACTCGGTTAAATTGCTTCTAATTTGAAAGAGGAGGACCTGATATGTCGATAATAAGCTAATTGTATTTAATAAGGTTTATGTTCAGTTTTATCATCAATTAATGTAATATAGTTAATTTAATTTTATATTTCCATCAAAATAAGCATTTCCTTTAAACGATTCTCATACCCTCATCCCAATGAGAAAGAGTCGTTCTTGAACAGGATGGAGCTTAGAGGATGTAGTTATGACCATCTAGTCATATATATATATACATATATATTCTCAATAATCTGAACTGTAATCTAAGCCTTGTAGGACACAGTGCAATCTTACATATCAAATCAATCTACATGGAGTTATTGTGATAAATATCAGTATTAAATACCTTGCATTTTAGTGTATAAAAGCTCCAATGCATCTACCACAAAAGTCAATTCCAATTTGAGTCTAATAATAACACAATGTTGTTCCGATCAACGTTTCTATACTCAGTGCTATTCCTCATTTCGTTCATTACAATTTCAAATACCTTAAAGTATATATTTGTTCCTGAAAATGACGAGATCTTTGATGATTGCTCTAATCAATCAAACGATGTCCTTAATATTCATGGACTGTTCGATATGTCGCACTTCATAATTAGACGCCAGGACGATGTAATTTATATGTCTGGCAATTCTACCTACAAGTGGAATATTCAACCACTGGATCGCGTTGAGGTATTTCGTTGAGTGGAATAACATCGTTATAATTAACTGTTTTCTTTTAAGGCGAGCTTCCAGCTATATAAATTTGATCGTATAGCCTGGTTGCAAACACCATTCGGTATGAAAATTCGTGACATGTGTCCAGTTCTATTTGATGAGCCTCAGTACTGGTATAAGTATTGGACAAAATATATAACTAATAAGGACGATTTTAAGGGGAAATGTCCTAGCCCAGGAGTATGTTTGTAAGTGAAAATAGTATTGCAATTAAAAATGTTTTTTTTTTTTCGTCTTCTAGGATAACTTATTTTACGAACCATTTTCCTTGAACTTGTTTATCGAATTAACTGGATTGCCTTTAAATGGACGATATAAAGTTTTAATAACAGCTAAGGCCTTTAGCCCGAATAATGAGGAGCGGGAGACTAGTATTTGCGTCGAAGTAGAGGGACAATTTGAAAGACTTAATTAAAATTATTTGTTCTCAAGAAATAAATAATAAAATTGTCACCTTGCTCTAAATACAAATTAAATATTAGATAATTGCATCGAAATCGTAATGTAATTATAATATTTCTAATCATGAACATTATTTAACTGTATACGGTGATTATATTCAACGCTATTCTAAAATTAACCTTTTTTTTTAGTCATATATATCATTTAGAATTAAATTACAGATTCAATTGAAAACAACTGGAGGAATAAAAACATAAGGCCGTCATACATTTATAAAGGCCCTATGAAAAATTTTAAAATTGATTACTAATTAAATTTTTATCGGTTAATACTTACCGCCATTCCAATAAACAGACTATTTGTAAAAATTTATTGAAATAGAAATATATGAACATATATGTAGATACTTAAATATTATGAAAACACTGAACTGGTTAGATATATCTACCATGATGACAGACCACCTTTTTCTAATTGTGCGTAATCAAACAATCATACACAGATATTTATCATTGTTATGATAACCCATTTATAGTGTATATAAAGCCCAGTTTGTAAGGCACACACATCCATAGGAAAGGGATTTAAAAGTAAATAGCGCAACGATGTGGATCGGACTATTCGTGATATTGCTGGCAAGGCAATCGAGTGGATTTAAATATAAGTTTATTCCTGACAATTATTATATATATATCAGCCCTGTTTGATAGTTTCAATTTATCGCTTGCCTCTAATGACAATATAATATCCGCTTCGGGCAGTGTTACCTACATATGGAATATTCAGCGTGGGGATCGTATTTTGGTAAATTTCCAGTGAGCTAAGTTAAATAATATTTTGATTTTATTATTTTTTTTCTTTGCAGATTAGCTACCAGTTATATAAGTTTGATCGTATCGCCTGGGTGCAGACAGTATTCGGCATGACTGTGCCTAACATCTGTCCAATTATATATTATGAGCCTCAGTACTGATACAAAATTTGGTTACAGCACGTGGTTAACAAGGAAGACGTGAAAGACGAATGCTTTTACCCTGGCGTAGGTTTATTCAACATAAACATATTTGTGTTTCGATATTGCCTTTAAATTTGAAAGCCTTTGACCATAGGAATGTTCAGCGAGAAACTAGCATTTGCATGGAAATTCGTGGAGAATTTGAAAGGGTGTAAATTCAATACGTGTTTATAATTGCGTGATGTAAATAAATGTGTTATTATCGCAACAGTTGCAGTTTAACTGGATCGTAATAGTTCATAGATATAATACAGAAGCGAGTGAATCATATATTATTCTAGTATCAGCGCCTTTTATGGCCTTTAATATATTTCATAAACTAGCCTAATTCAAGTTCGGATTCTGATATGCATCACTCGACCCTATTATCGACTTAACTTAAAAATATCATACATCACACCATTTAGTTAAGTTAAAGTTATTAAAGTTTATTCTGAATAGTTCTTAAAATAATTTGTATTTAATTTCTTTCGATGATCTCAGCCTCTATAATCGGGATCATTGTGTTCGTCTTCGTCTTCCTCCTCCTCGTCATCTTCATCTAAATAAGAATTGGAATTCGTGTTTTACTTCAAAGCAAGCGTTAATAAACTTCCATCTCCTTACCATGATCTCTTCGCTTGCGCGTGTACGCTCTTCGAGTGACCACCGGCGCCTGATCCGTTTCGCCGTGCAGCAAGGAATTACGATACAGTATTAGGGGCTGCCACTCCTCCGCACGACTCGACGGCATGCCCGGCGGTATGACCTTGTCCAAGAATGCCATGATCACCTTCTTATCTTGCTTCAGCAATTTGTAGTTGAATTCATTGAGCACCTCCAGAAACAGAATGCGAGTTGGTGCACGGACTGGATCATCGGGCTGTTTATTGGCAGCAAAGTAAATGCCGCCCCGATGTATGGCAGCAACCGACTCGCGATTCTTAAGGGCATCAAACCCGAAAGTAAGCGCAAACCGCTTAGCCAACTCCTTCAGATCGATAAACTCCTGTGAACTCTTTGATACAATACCATCATCACTTTGCTCTTGCAGGCTCTTAAACACTGTAATTAAACTCAGCAAGAGCGTCATGGCAAAGTTAACCTTATTGATTTCTCGCGCCTTTCCCAGCGTAGCTTTAATAATATCGCCGTACTCGTTATAGCACTTTAATTGTAAGGGAAAGGAGGCTGAGATTAATATCAGGTTGCGAAAAATCTATATGCTATATGTACTAATTAGATTAGGAGAAGAATCTCTGGAGTTATAAAATTATCTGTACCTTTACATAATATTTGAATATACTTGCTGCTCGCATTGTAGGTATTATGTTGTAGACAATTAGTTTGCAGTAGCAGGCCAAGAAGTTTCGTTTTTTATGCAACTCCTCGATGCGGGTTTCATCCTGGGCAACAACCTGTTTCAGCGAGAACACGTAGTGCTGCACAAAATTGTCTAAGATGAGATGTTCGTCCATGCGCGACTTGTATTCCAAGCTGCGTATATGCTCACTCTCGCTGCGCGCCAACTGATCTGAGTAAATGATGAGCAGATCACAGATGGACTGGTAAGCCTGTCAAAAAATAAATCTCTCATGTTACGACCGTTAATTAAAAGTAATTTTATACGCACAGCTTCTTGAATTTGGACAGTAGGCCCGTCTCGGGTCAGCTCAAAGCAAGCGGACATAAAACTGTCTAAATTGCTGCGCAGCTCAGCTACAACCTCGGCCACATTCAACGCTTCGCAGTCATTCTCAACGTAGTAGAGGCCCCAGCTAATCGAGAAGTAGCAGGCCTCAATGCAATACGCCAGCGCCTCATTGGGTAGACAACGTTCAACATTGTCCTTACACTGCGCCTCCTCAACGTCACGAAACAGAGATTTAAATAAATCCCACGAATTCAGATTGTGGGACGAATACAAAATGGACAACACTTTTAGCGCTATGGTTATATTATAGATGTCATCCTCGTTGGGTGTCTCCTCGCCTGAAATAATAAATTAAATTAGTGGCGTTAATAGATCAACAGATCATCTTTCAAATACAATATAAAATGAGTATTCACCTAAAATAAGATTTCGCCACTCGACGATGGTATCCTTGTACTTGTTGACCGCACTCTCGATGATATTGGAGCGGGCAATGTTGCAGCGAGTGTACGTAGCGCTTCCTTCGGCGCAGAGGCATTCCAGTGTCTTGGCACAGGTCTCGAGGACGTCACGACCGGTGTGCATACACATTACTTGACTAATCTTATCCAGCAGTGCCTGCAAGTTGCCCTCCTGCCGATTGGTGGTGTACAGATTGAGGTCAAAGTACTGCGGCACTGCCAGCAAATTGGCCAGCTTTTCACTGTCTGCCTGATACTTTTCCAATAGAGCCGGTAGTGTCACAATGAAATGCTCTGTCAACTTAACCTTTTCATCCTGTATGGCTTTTAGCTCCTTAGAGCTAAGTGTAAACTTGCGATTGCTGGCACGTCCCACGGGCACCTCGCCTGTCGCGGATTGCTTGACGCTGCTCACCATGATTTCGATCAATGTAGATTCCTGTTTGTTGTCGAGCACCTCCTCATTGGGACCTGGCTCCTCCAGCAACAGATCAGTCATACATTCCCAATCGCGCACCATATCATTGCTATCTATGAAGGAGTCCACCAAATAGGCGCCGTGCTCGTGCAGCTCTGATTCAATGAAGAATTGCACGAGATCTCGAATCAGAGGTGTATTGGGCAGACGCAATTTACCACGCTTTGTCTTCGTTTCTTCCATGTCGGCGGTTAGGTGAAACAAACGCACATTGAGAAACTCTGCAGCAGCCTGAGCAACACCTCGATGCGAGGAGTAGACCAGCTCATAGACAATCTCACAATCCTTATCAGCCAAAATCTCCGGATGTATTCTATAAGAGATCCATTACATTCATATATACATAATTCAATTTCGTCTTGAAACTTACTTTAGTATGCTGATTACCAGCTTAACGGCATGCACAGACACCTCGAATTCCTTGTCCAGTGTCATGGCTACAATTCTGTCTTTAAATTTGGACGTAAACAGCTCCAGTTTGCCTTTTAGCTCATCTTTGTCATAGAGGGGCAGCAGCGATTGGAGACAGCGTAGACGCACTTCACCAATTTTATCGTGCAACGTCCAGCCAATATATTTCAAATATGAATCGTCCAGGAAATTTTGCGGATAATTTTCCATCCATATGCCAATCTCAGCCATACAAATGGCTCGTATATCTGGCAGAGTATCTCTGTACCGATGTACAAATACCGACTTGAACATGTAGGTTAACATGCTTTTGATCTCATCCATATTCTCTTCCAACTCCGAGCGTTTTGTCATCAGCGAGTCCAAGCGATCCGATGCGCGACGATCCCGTGACTAAAATACATAAGAACTATTATACCTGGATGCCTAACTCATATTTAAAGATTTGCTTACTTTAACGCGCTCAGCTTCAAATTGTTTGGCTGCATTTTCGAAATTATTCGATACGAGAAGAGCGACATCCACCAATGCCGTCATTAATTTCATTGCGGCCAATGTGGCGGTGTGACGAAAAGCGCGTACTTGTGAATCGGACAGACCCGTCAGTAGCGAGATCACATTGTCCATTAAGAACTGATCATAAATTATGGAATACTGACATTGTTTAACAAGCGTTTGCACAAAGTCACAAAAATTATGTTTGAACTTCTTCCACTGTGTGCCGGTCATAATCAATGGATACTCGCCGCTTTCCTAAGTAATAAATTGATATTTTAGCCGCTTTCGTTTAATTCATTTAAATGCTTACTTACCTCATCAAATTCTTCCGTCATGCGACGAATGATAGCCGTATGATCAACAGGATATTGTATATCCTCTGATATTTTTCCTTTGCAACCGCTCGCATTTATAAAGAACTGCATCAAGGCAACAAGTGCTGTTTCCCGATTCGCTTTGTACTGCCCAATCCATTGATCAACAATGCTCTGGATTAAGAATAGATTTGTTTGTTATTAAAGATGGCTGTTATTAAAGATGGCTCCCGGTGAAAGGACATTTATCTCTCTCCCATACGCACATACACATATGTCCACATAAATATTTACCGCAATTGGATTCTTTGAGTGTCGAACAATATAGTATAAACTGTTCTCATCGGTTGTAATTTCACGCTCGTTGTCGATGCGTTCGTGGTGCGCCTTCTCCACTGGTTCTTTGCGCGGCCGCTCAATGCGCTCCTTTCGCTCCGCTGGCGGTTTGCGTGTTTGTGGTGTCTTTCGTTTGCGTGAAACGGGCGCAAAAAACTCATCCTCGTCATCATCGATGATTGGCGGTTTGTCACGGACGCCACCACGTGCACGCAGTCGCGTCATGCGCTTGGTGGGGCTGTCTGCATCAGATGTACTTTCATTTAAAGCATCACTGTTGAAAAACAATTTCCCTTAAAAAAATGCAACGGTACTGAATTCGATTTTGCGTTTTACCTGTGCATTTCGTCGTATTCTGGAGCCGGAGGCGGATCATCCATACGTATGCGCTTTCCACCGCGGCGCGCCATCATTTTGATATATTAACTGGGCTTTTTAATAATTAATTGTTATTTTTCCGACAATAAAATTTTTTTGGCGTCTTGGCAAACAACAAATAGTGATGATAGCGAAAAGCCACCAATACTATCGGAAGAGATATCGATATTTACAGCGAAAGAAAGAGATACAGCATTTGTTTATATTTTTGTTGCGGCGAATTGGTAACTCGCAGGCCTATCGAATAGGAGTATCGATACTACACCACCAAAAAAAGAAGAAGCGTCTGTTTTGTTTTTCGAGCAGATAAAAATAAACAATTCAAAACTTTTTAATAATAGTAATTAAATATGACTGAATTTAGTGCGGAGTCAGGCGGACGCTTGAAGGGCGTAACAATTGTAAAGCCAATTGTGTACGGCAATAAAGCACGCTCCTTTGGCAAAAAGCGTGAGGAGGACGGACACACGCATCAATGGCAGGTTTATCTGAAGCCCTATTATGACGAGGATATGTCGATTTATGTAAAGAAAGTACACTTCAAACTGCACGAAAGCTATGCAAATCCGAATCGCATTGTTGTCAAACCGCCATACGAAATTACGGAAACCGGCTGGGGTGAATTTGAGGTTGTTATTAAAATCTACTTTAATGACCCATCCGAACGGCCTGTGACCTGCTATCACATATTAAAGTTGTTCCAATCGCCCGTCGTGGACGGCGAGTTGAGCTCGTCCACGACAATGGACACTAAAAAAGGATTAGTATCTGAATCATACGAAGAAATAGTCTTTCAAGAGCCCACCCAGATAATGCAACATTATCTTACGCTCTCCGAACAAAGTGCAAATGGATTACTCAACCATGATACAGATTGTAAATAAATAGTAAATAAAAGTGAGAAGTGATTAAACCATTCTTTATCATTTCAGTTGAAGAAAAGAAGGCTAAGACCCTAGACAACATAATCAATGTGAAGCAAAAGGTCAAAAGCGAGATCGTAAGTCTTAAGGATAAGCTTAAATTGGCTCGCGAGACAATTGTAAAATTCAAGGCGGAACTAGCAAAAGTCCAAAAACCACCTGCTTAATACCGAAAATTGTGAATATAATATGTTTAAGAGAATAAAATAAACTAAGCTGTATGAAAACCCAATAAAATTTTCATTAGAAATTCTAGGGATAAGTTTGTGTATAAAATGTGCTCGAGCAGCAGCTAATTTTTATTTAGAAGTGGCAGTTAATATTAAATATTCAGCTGACGTGCTTGCAGATTGTGCCAGTGAACAATAAACTGAATTCATTGAAAAAAAATTAAAAACATTTTGTTCACATTCTCCAGGCTGCATCGTGTTGTTTTCTCTTGTTCTCTCTCTCCCTCTCTCTCTCTCTCCCTCTCTCTCTCTCTCCCTCTCTCTCTCTCTCCCTCTCTTTCGCATCGCTCTCTGCCAGTAGCATAAACACTGGCATCCACATGCACTTACACACACAGACACACACTATTTATGCCTAATGAACCATTGAACCAGTTAAAGATTTTTTTTAGCTGAATGAACCAGTCGACTTGAACTGGCGTCGCTGTCGTGTTGCAGCATCCAATTTCGATGGCAAATAATAAAATGTTATTGTTTATTTGTACAAGTTGTTAAGTGCATTTATTTATTTACAWGTCGGTAACTTGTAAGAGAAACAATTAACTCGTTTCACAGTAAACAATATACCACGCATATAATGAGCGAACGTACGACTGTGTAAAATCGAAAGAAGAAAAACCTGCTTCCAGACTCTGCGCAAACGCGTCGGCTAGCTTAAGTCGAGAACCGAACAAAAGGAACGGAACGGAACCTTAGACAGGTAAGCATGCGCTTTACCTGTTGCCTGCTGGCAGCATTTTTAGTATACAAAATTACGCTTTGAATGTGATTGTTTTCTTAGTTTTGGACTTAAAGTCGTTAAATTTGCACAGATTTGGCATTTGTAATTAGTTTATACCTTTTACAGCGGCGCCCCCAAATGTCGGTGACGCGAGGCCACAAATCAACGCCATCGCTGCTGCTGCTGTTTCTGTCGGTGTTGACGTCGTTGCTTGCAGCAATTCCGGTTTTACAGGCCAATGCGCCGTCGGCAGGGCCAGGCGTGCGAATACTGCGACCGCCCGAATCTACAGTGGCGCCCTCTGGCGACGAGGTGGTGTTTGTGTGCGAGACCAGTTTGCCGCCGGAACACTTCGAATGGAGCTACGCCTCGACCCGCAGCCATGCGCCGCGCTTCAAATATTTAAAATCGAGCAGCGCCAAAAACAATTCCAATATAACCATAACCAATGACAATGACATATCCAAGCTCCGTGTCATTGTACGGCCCGAGACTCTGGGCGAGTATCGTTGCGTGGCATGGTTTGGACCACTGGCCGTCACCTCCACCACAGCGCGTTTGGAGCTGGCCACCATCAGCGGCGACAAAACTGCTCAACGTTCAGATTGGCGCGTGGCGGCAGGCAACACTGTGCTCTGGCAATGCGGCCAGGTGGTGTCTAATCCGGCACCCACATGGAGCTTCTATTACAATGACATCGAGATACCAGCGGCCTCGACACTGAGTGACTCCAGTGGCACGCTGCTGCTGCCACATGTCTCAACGGCAAGCAGCGGCAGCTACACTTGCGTAGCCACCAACACGGCCTCGGGTCAGCGCCTGGCCATGCCCAGACGTTTGGAACTGCAGGTACCGGCTGCAGCTTTGCCGAGCGCAGCGCCAGCTCTGCTGCCTGGGCAAAGCGTGCGAACCGAAGTGTTGGCTCGCATAGGTGAAACATTGTTGCTGCTGTGCCCGGGCGTGGGCTATCCTCCGCCCACAGCCGTTTGGAGCAGCCCCGATGTGTCCGGAGCTGTGTACAACAATCGCACGCGCGTGCTGCCCTATGGACTGCAAATTAGCGGACTGCAGCCAAAGGATACGGGGACCTACATCTGCTACCTGGACAATGGGATACGTCCTGCCTTGGAGCATTATATTCAGCTGGTGGTGCAGCAAGCCCCACGTATAGTGCGTCCGCCGAGCGCCAATCTCACCAATGAGGGCGAATTCATGATGTTGGAGTGTGCGGCCACGGGCACGCCCACACCGAAGATCTACTGGTTGCTTAATGGGGAGAACAGTGTCTACGATACCGAGGCGGAGCTGCCGTCCAATGGCTCCCTAATCTTGCGCCGAGTGCAAAAGCGGCATGCCGGCTGTGTACAGTGCTTTGCAAGAAATGTGCTCGGTGAAGACAGCGCTGGCACTCTGCTCCAAGTCAATCCCACTCAGATCCAGGCCGGAGATGGCATGGGCACGGGCGGCATGGGTAGGTCATCCAACCGGAACGCACACAACCGCAAGCAAAAGCAAATGGTGCCACCGTCGGCCCCCAATGTTACCCGGCTATCGGATGAGTCTGTAATGCTGCGCTGGCATGTCGTGAAAAACGATGGATTGCACATTCAGTTCTTCAAGGTGCAGTACCGTATGACGGACAGCGGCAAGCGCAAGAGCTGGCAGACCACCAACGAGAACATACCGTATGGCAAACAGCGGCACGATTCGGATGAGGCGGTTAGGAACTTCACGTCATCGGTGACGGGCTTGCGACCGGATCACAGCTATCGGTTTCGCATCATGGCCGTCTACTCCAACAACGACAACAAGGAGAGCAACACCTCGGGTAAATTCTTTCTGCAGCGGGGTGCTGCTTTGGCTCCGCTGCCGGTGCCCGAGCTGTTGGACATTAAGGAGTACTCGCAGACGGCCGTCATGCTGCACTGGCGTTTGCCCAGCGATGCAGATGAGCAATTGATATCCGGATACTATGCCTATTATCGACCCTCTGCCTCGGCTGGCGAGTACCTGAAGGCAACCATCGATGGTGCCAAGGCGCGCAGCGCTCTGATCTCTGCGCTTGAGCCGGGCACAATTTACGAATTTAAATTGCAATCTTTTAGCGCTATGGCTGCATCCGAGTTCAGTTCACTCAAGCAAGGACGAACCCAACGACCCAGAAGCAGCACAACGGCTCAGCCGACGATGCATACTGTAGATACCACTACGCCGACCCACAACGAGACCTTCAACATGAATCCGCTGCTAACGGGCACCATTAGTGGCGGTGCATTACTAATCTTGCTCGTGATCAGCGCCTGCTTCTGCCTATGCAAGCGTCGCCACTCACGCGGCGACAACTCACAGAATAAGCCGAGGCTGGCGGAGCTGCGCGAGGATTTCGTACCGCTGAACACCTGTTCGCCCAACAAGCCGCGCACACGACATATCCACATTACACTGAATCCGCTGGCACAGCAGCAGCAACARCAGCTGCAGCAGCAGCATCAACAGGACGAGAAGGACTCGCAGGATAATGAGTTGGGCTACTTCCAGCGCCAGCCCGTTGTTTACGATGCCGAAACGTTGGGTTTCAATGGACTTGCGCGTATGTCTTCGTCTTCGCTGCGACGCTCTCAACGCACGCTGGAACGTGCCGCTGTTGGTGGCGGCTCTGGCGGCAACAACAACAATCTTAACCAGGCGACGGATGCCTCGCTGGCCGCATCGCTGGACAGCCCACGCCTGCAGGCGTCCAACAAGCCGGGGCGTGTTATTCTAAAGCGCTCACGCCTATCCAGCCGCTCCGAGAATCTCTCATCGGGCAGCCTGAACAGCGTGGGCGTTTAAACTCGTGATCTTTATTTAGTCTATGCTCATTTATAGGATATATGCTATTCCTCTACCTCTGTTTTACAACTTTTAAAACCTTCAAATGACATTTACTTAAACACTTTGTACTTATATATACAAATGCATTAGCCCTTAAGTACTTAATTAGTTTTCTACACTTTATTACTTGTATGGAGCCTATATAGCTCAAATGTGCATTTTATAGTATAGTATTTACCTACTTATATAGTTAGTCTTCCAGCTCTTGAGATAAGTTTAAATTCTGTACTGATAGCTTCATAATTTTATCTATACAAAAAACAAACACAAAAATGACAATAAAAATTTGCTAACTTTCCGAAAAAAGAAAATTTAATTAAAATTGCAGAAACTTTTAAGAAAATATTAAGCTTAATTTAATCAATGTTTTTAACTTTCCATAAGAAATATTACTCATTATAAGGTGATTGACCCGATTTCTCTCGACTGCCAATTATATACATATGCTTGGCTTTAAAATGTTTTTGTTTTAAATATTCTTCCTAAATGCTGCAAACTTGACTCAGATCTCTATAAGTCACGCCTACAACAAAATACTCTCATTAAAAAAAAATGTTATGAATCATCGCATACTTTAACTTTGTATACAGAGCTCTAAATTTTTGCATATAAATTTTATACGTTTAGGTATAAATGAAATATAAAAGAAAACTAAATAAAACTGTTTCTATTATATTCGCCTTGCGAGGTGCCGTCAAAAAGTTAAAATTTCAAATTAAAACTTAACGATAGACTGTCGATAAATTGATTGGGTTCGATAATAAATGATATGCACTGCTGTTTGAAAAAAACGATGGCAACCTTCTCAGCTGTCAGCTGTCAAACCACCTAAAATAATTGGGTCGCACCAAAATTTCTAATAGTAACATTTTGGATGGTTTAATTTATTTTAAAAATTCTAATGATTGGCAAAAAGAGTGTACAGAAGAAGCTGAATCAATAAATAAGTCACAAAACCTTTGCAACGTAATACAAAAAATAAATAGCCAGTACAATGCACAAGTTTAAGATGTTCTTTGTTACAGATAGCGAGAACCGCTGCAAACAGAAAGGAAAATCAGAATTGAAATACTTCAGAGGAAGGTAGATTGTAGCAAAAGGGTCGGCAACATGTCGAACCTATCAGTGGGGCAGATGATAATGGACGCACAGCGTATGGCCAGTCGTGTGAAGGATTTGGATGCGCTGGGCACAGCACTGTTGGAAGAGGCAGAGACCAACAATCGTTTGGTTGAAAGCTTGCGTCAATATCAGGAGGATATTGAGTCACTTAATCGAGTTGCGAATAACAAGACTAATGCGGATATGGTCAATCGCATACAGCAACAGAATGTTAACAGCTCTGAGATACTGAAGGAAAATCGTGAGCTTAAAATCTGCATTGAGGACTATGAGCGAGCCATGGAACTGATGATGCAAAAGTACAGGGAACACACAGTGACCAAGGTGCTGGACAACAAATTAAATTTCAAGGAGCTGTACAACGAACGCCTTTGGCAGGTGATACGCGAACAGCGCGAAAAGATCAACGAAATGGCGGCCGTCATGCACCGAGCAGCCACTGCGGATGACGAGAATGTGCAGCGGGAACTGCAAACGATATCACAGCTGCGCATGGAGAACGAAACGCTGCGCGAACTGTTGCAAATTTCCAAAAAGTACGGCTCCGCACAGCGGCCAATACGCGAGGGCGATCATCTGCTTGAAGAGAAGGCGGTGCAAACAGATAATCAGGCAGATGACTCTGCCGACGATCTGTCCATATCGGGTGCTTCAGTAGAGAACATGAACAACAATTCAGTCATACAAATGTACAGCAGTCCCGAGGTGATCACCAGCGCAAGCAATGCCAGCAATAACTCAGCAATCACTGCCTCAGTAAATGCGCTCAGCGCAGCTCAGCTAACCAACGCAGTTGGTGAAACCATCGATGCTGCTGTTGCTGTTGCTGCTGCAACTGGTGGGAATACAGCAGAGCATACCAACGCCAATGAGAATAACAATGGACCTGCTGTACACGACACGCCAGAAACGCCAGCCAAACCAACGGCAGGGATGGCGGCGGCAGCAACGATAGCGGCTGCACCGACGGCAACATCAGCGGCATCAACATCAACGACGACACCGAACGACGTGGAGGAAGAGCACACGCTGCCAGTTGTGGGCGGTGCCGTTGTTGTGGTTGGTGCCAACGCAACATGATAGGTGCTGATTAAACAGCATTGTCTGGATTGCATTGCCATGTGTCGTCATCATCTCCAGTCAATCATTGTCTGGTTTGCATTGTCATTTGTCTCCAGTCAATCATTGTTAATTTTTATTCGCTTAACAAACACGTCTTTGATTTCCGGCGCAACGCACTCATCAGCACTCTATTAACAACAGATACAAATACACACCCATCCAAACAATCACATACTCACACACACACACTCATTACACTGCATTAGTTCATAGCGACTAATAATCTCTAAGTAATTTATACATGCATACAATCTAACGTCTGTGCCAAGCGCAACAGAAATCATCATCAGAAACCTTATACACTCTCACACTCTATAATCCATGTTGTACTCTGTCGACTTATTATGATTTCTTAATAAAAGCCAGAATAGAAGTTGTCTTTGATCAATTATTAGAATGGAATTAAAGTAGATTTATGGAAGTAGGCTTGCTTCTTCATATACATTACATACTCAATAATCTCAAATATTTTGTACTTTAATGAAAGATTTATAAGATTATATTATTAATTAAATCTTGTAAATACGAATTATGTTTCTTAATATTTATTTAAGGAACTATTGAAGGAACAATATTTCAGAGAACCCAAATAGTCTGTTTTTATTTTATGAACGAATATACATACATATATATATAATTGAAGTTATCAATATTAAAAGTCTTAACCATTTCTAAAAATTATGAACAGGGAATCCTGCGTCACTTAATGTTTTTGTACGCGCAACTCAAAAATAAGAGAGAGAGAGAAAGAGAGAGGAACCCAGAGAGAGTGGGAATAGATGGATATAGGTAGCATCTGTTGCATTCTCTGCGGCTAGTTTGAGCTTTTTGAATTGATTTAAATTTAGTTTCTCGTCGATTTTCAAAACGTTCACAACGTAAGATCTACAGACAAACGCGTCGGCCCGGAAAACGGCTTAGCCTGTGCAATTGGTGGGAAAGAGATGCAACGAGCTCTATAAGTATATTTCGAGTGCTCAAGCGATCGATGTTATATCAAAAAAGAAAAAAGAAAATAAAGATCCCACAGCATATGTATGTATGTATATATAGCTGCACATATGTATGTATATGTGTGCGACTCAAGTGAAAATTCCAAATTGAATAAGTTTCGTTCGCCGTGAAAATTCGATAAGGGAAAATCGAACATTGGAAATTTTGTAAATTGAAAAGTAAACAAATCATTTCTATAATATTCATAGATATGTTTTGAAAGACGGTTTCGCATTTGAAATCTTTCTGAATGGGATATATGTGGAGAGTGCGCTGCCATTTACGAAAAATTCTGTGCTATTTATAAAACAGAGCTAATTTTTCGGCCGTAAATTTTCGATAAAGTGAATATATCAAAAAATAAACTTAAAACAAGCAAAACGTCAAACAAAATATTGAAATTTTCAAAAGAAAATAAAGAAAAGCTGTACAAATTTGAAATCTGCAAGTGAATTCAATTTAAAATTAGATTAACCTTAAGATGCAATTTCAAAGCAGTTAAAGAGTTTCGCCGCCTTCCATAAAAAAATCAAATTTCTTGCGGTTACGCAATTCAACATTTGGTAAATGAAAAGTTTCGCACGATTCGCGTACGATCAGGAGCAAATGCAGCGGCAGCTATAGCTGTGGCCCCATTCCCAACTTGCCCAGCTTCAAATTCATCTAAATGCGGAATCTTCTTGTGTGAGTTCTAAATTTGCAATTCGCTACACATATCAACATAGATATAGTATTTATATATATATATAATCATCTATATACATGGATGAAAAATGTTGATAATTATTTTTAACGTGCTAGGGATTTGCAATGTTGTAGCCCTCCCTAGGCAAGAGTACGTTGCCAAGGTAAGAGACAAGCTCACGCAGCTTTCCAAAAACTCTTACATTCTCTCTGTTCTCCCTCGATCTCTTGAGTGAGCTAAATTTATCACTCGTTTATACATAGCCTCATCTTTTAGCTCTTTTATTTTAATTACCCAAAAAACATGCGCAAACTTGCAATTTCTGTCTGCGCGTTGCCCACCTGTAAAACGATCATAAATTCTCTTTATAGCTATCGCTCACTCTCTTCACTCTCTTTCTCTCTCAATTGCTCTCTCTCTCTCTCTACATATATGTAGAGGACAGTGTAAGCATTTGTTATTGTTTATATTTACAAATAAACTGAYGTTTGTCTATATAAACAATGAAGCAAGTTTTTTCTTATTATGCTCGCTCATGAAGCAAAGAGGGAATATTCGTTTTGCTCAATATAGAAAATCGAAGTTGAATTTGGAATTTAGAATACATACAAAAATAATGTGATTGGAGTCGAATATAAGCTGGAATCTATGCAGTAATCCCTTTAGAGCCTTAGGGCTCTATTGTATTGTAATGCTCAACAGAAAAATCAGAGCGTGAGATTCGAAGATTAATTTTTGTTCTATTAACGGAAATAAAGCCGCCGGTTACACCCGACTATAATAGTCTTAATTAGTTCCATTTGGATTATTCAGTCTTTACGTGTTTCGGATATTTCAAATCAAGTAGCTCGTAAATTTCTTACCTAAATGTTAATGATATTTTCTTGAACCATAAAACTTTCGTCGAAAGGCAAATTGGAATCATTGTTATTGGTTTAAATTGATTTCTATTTAGTTAATATCTGCAGATTCTTTTTGTATTAAATAAGTTTAGGGAGCGTAGGTGGGATATATGATATTTATGGTATACTTTATAAACTAAATTTTCATAAAAACTTTAAATAGAACCATTGTTCAATATTCATAAATTATTATTATTA